CCACTCACTAACAATACACCACCACCACTCACTAACATACCCACCACCACTCACTAACATACCCACCACACCACTCACTAACAATACCACCACACACTCACTAACAATACCCACCACCACTCACTAACAATACCCACCACCACTCACTAACAATACCCACCACCAAACTCACTAACAATCCACCCACCACCTAACAATACCCACCACCACCACTCACTAACAATACCCACCACCACCACTCACTAACAATACCCACCACCACCACTCACTAACAATACCACCACCACCACTCACTAACAATACCCACACCACCACTCACTAACAATACCCACACCACTCACTAACAATACCCACCACCACTCATAACAATACCCACCACCACCACTCACTAACAATAGCCCACCACTCTAACAATACCCACCACCACCACTCACTAACAATACCCACCACAACCACACTCACTAACAATACCCACCACCACCACTCACTAACAATACCACCCACCACCCCACTCACATAACAATACCCACCACCACCACTCACTAACAATACCCACCACCACTACTCACTAACAATACCCACCACCACCACTCACTAACAATACCCACCACCACCACTCACTAACAATACCCATCACCACCACTCACTAACAATACCCACCACCACCACTCACTAACAATACCCACCATCACTCACTAACAATACCACCACCACCACTCACTAACAATACCCATCACCACCACTCACTAACAATACCCACCACCACCACTCACTAACAATACACCCATCACAAACCAACCCACTCACTAACAATACCCACCACCACCACTCACTAACAATACCCACCACCACTACTCACTAACAATACCCACCACCACCACTCACTAACAATACCCATCACCACCACTCACTAAACAATACCCATCACCACCACTCACTAACAATACCCATCACCACCACTCACTAACAATACCCATCACCACCACTCACTAACAATACCCACCACCACTCACTAACAATACCCATCACCACCACTCACTAACAATACCCACCACCACCACTCACTAACAATACCCACCACCACTCACTAACAATACCCACACCACCACTCACTAACAAATACCCATCACCACCACTCACTAACAATACCCATCACCACCACTCACTAACAATACCCATCACCACCACTCACTAACAATACCCACCACCACTCACTAACAATACCCATCACCACACTCACTAACAATACCCACCACCACCACTCACTAACAATACCCACCAACCACTCACTAACAATACCCATCACCACCACTCACTAACAATACCCATCACCACCACTCACTAACAATACCCACCACCACCACTAACAATACCCACCACCACCACTCACTAACAATACCCACCACCACCACTCACTAACAATACCCACCACCACCACTCACTAACAATACCCACCACCACTACTCACTAACAATACCCACCACCACACTCACTAACAATACCCACCACCACCACTCACTAACAATACCCACCACCACCACTCACTAACAATACCCATCACCACCACTCACTAACAATACCCACCACCACCACTCACTAACAATACCCATCACCACCACTCACTAACAATACCCACCACCACCACTCACTAACAATACCCATCACCACCACTCACTAACAATACCCCACCACCACCACTCACTAACAATACCCATCACCACCACTCACTAACAATACCCATCACCACCACTCACTAACAATACCCATCACCACCACTCACTAACAATACCCACCACCACCACTCACTAACAATACCCATCACCACCACTCACTAACAATACCCATCACCACCACTCACTAACAATACCCATCACCACCACTCACTAACAATACCCACCACCCTCACTAACAATACCCACCACCACCACTCACTAACAATACCACCACCACCACTCACTAACAATACCCACCACCACCACTCACTAACAATACCCATCACCACGATCACTAATCAATACCAATACCACCACTCCTAACAATACCCATCACCACCACTCACTAACAATACCCATCTTACACCACTCACTAACAATACCCATCACCACCACTCACTAACAATACCCATACCACCACTCACTAACAATACCCATCACCAACCATCACAACAATACCCACCACCACCACTTACACTAACAATACCGACCACCATTGAATATGAGGACAGGTTTGAATTATTCTGTGATACATAAAAAAAGATGGTAAGAAGTTTGAATTTCTGTACTACGAAATAATATTTACAACGAAATGAAAATACAGCCAACACAACTGAACATTTAATAAACTGGTAAAACATTTAATCAGCTAAACTCGGTACAAACAATAACACAATTTATTTATACGATTAAAATAACTGTATTTACAGTGACTGAATACTTGAAGGACAATTACATTACTTATACGAGGTAATATAATTGTGTTTGATAGAGTTACTTGAATGTAATGATAATTTAATTTTAAGTAAGACAAAACTCACTTGTACATAACAACAATTGTAAAGTAAGAGACGTAATACAACTTGTATAAACAATTTTAGTCACAATAAATAATGAGTAGCTGAATAGGTGTACAAGTTCGTGACTGTAAGTGGGGGATCATAACATGCCTAACTTCTAGGGATAAGGGTAGGTGCCTGACCGAGACTTTACCATAAACAAATGTCATTCCATTTTTGTGCGGGAATGCAGACCGAGACCTAGCTTGTAGCTAGGCTGAGGACAGTTGGCCCAAAGATAAGGAAGTACTTGTGCTCTCTCCCATGGAAACTTAGAGTCTAGAGACATCCTAAAGAGGTAGCCAAGGCCGGGCACCACTAGAATAAGGGAGAATGAGGCTAATCTTTAATAATAATAATAATTAAATTAGAGTGGAGCTGGATAACAGCGTTACATGCATTTGACAATTACATCGATCGGCGTAAATTTACATCGAATTCAGGTATTTTTTAACAATATTTTCGATACATTGAGTTTCTAGTCAAGCTGATTCGAACACGTTGGATATCAAAAATATATTTGCTTCGTCTTGTGTCTTGACTGAGAGTTTTAGCAAGAAGTTAATATGTATTGTCATGTACATATAGTATGCACAGTAATAGTGTGAATGTTTTATATGTGGAAATCTGAAGGTTTGGACAGAGGGAGGTAAGGGTGCTTGAAACCTGAGTGATCATTCTGAAAATTGATTTTTGAATTACTATGGGTTTTAAGTCATGTACTGTTGTAGTACATCCTCACGCACTATATAATAAATGAGGTTAGGATAGATTATAGTTTTACATAGTTATTAAGTTTCTAGTCTAGCAAAAGGCTTGAAGTAGCTAGATTATTATACAAGAATATAGCTGTGCTAGGAAACAATGATACCAAGCTAATTTCGCGTAATCCAATACCAGGTCGGAATTCTGGAATGTGTGACTGGAGTCCAGGACATTGATCGTGGTGAATGAGTAATGTTGAGGCAACGTAAGTTCTCCCGTTTCTAACATAGACATTCAGTTTTTTCAACTATAATCTACCTTGTCCATAATTACTATCGCATTGTGTTGTCTGTTTCGTAAGGTAAAGTCTGGATCTTCCTAATCATGGTATAACTTAACAAATCTTTGAGGACAGTTGCCCTCAAAGATTTAAGTTATACCATGAATTAAGGAAAGATCCCAGACTTTACCTTACGAAACAGACAAACCAAATGCGATAGTAATTATGACAAAGTAGATTTTAGTGGAAAATTCAGCATATTATTAGTAGTCAGGGGTACTTACCTGCCCCCTTAAGGCCAGAGGAGGACCCTTCAAGACGAGTGCCTTGATACTGAGGACGGTATCTGGTGTGCCATAATGGCTATGGTAATGAGGGAATAAGGTACTTGGAGTATCCTAATAACTAGGGTAGCAAGGGAGTAAGGTACCTTGAGTGTCATAATACCTATAATAGTGAGGAAGGTACCTGGAGTGTCATAATACCTATAGTAGTGAGGGAGTAAGGTACTTGGAGTGCCATAATAACTGGCGTGCGATGGCAGGAAGGTGCTACAACGGAAGGCTCCTCTTTCGATATGGAACTTAGGACAAAAATATTAAGGCTACCTTATACTATACATCTTCCACTCGGCATTTATGAACCATGGCATCAATTTTGTCATATTCCCTGGGAATTGTTAAACCTTTAGGTAAAGGTCATATCAGACATCGCCTGAGGAGTGGGTGGGGATCATGTTTGATTCGAGAAAGAGGAAGGTATAACTATTTCCTCGGATCCTGAGCCCTCCACTAGCATCACGGAATCCCACTTCCTTGAAGTTATTAACCAGAACAGCGACATTCAACTGATATCCTATTATTATTATTATTATTATTATTATTATTATTATTATTATTATTATTATTATTATTATTATTATTATTATTATATTTGATAAACAACGAAACACTTTTCTAATGTGAATATACACAGAAGAATCAAACTGTTTTATGATTCACTAAAGTTATTCCTGGTAGACTCAAGTATGACACCAGAACCGTATTTCCTGCACTACTTTCACTCATTTTCTTTTGCATAATAATAATAATAATAATAATAATAATAATAATAATAATAATAATAATAATACATATGTTTTTGTCTTAAAAACTTGATTTATTCACCTGAACTACAAAGAATACAAATCACAATACCACCGTGGCTTGAACAAGTCACAACCAATTCAACTAAATAATGGTCCAGGACGGACCTAAGATTACTCTAATTTTCATTTCTAGTTCCTGAGCTTCGAGGTTCATACTAGTGTACGATATGCCATTACTAGAGAGAAAGCACTGATCACTACACACGCATGTACCGCAAACTGACTTCTTCCTGTCTAGAGAAGTTGGCACCTTTAATAGACATGGTGTAAGGGTAGAGAGACACATGAAGGCAGGATGGAGTCATGGTAATACGTACACCTACTGTCATTACTTGCGGCTCGACGGACATGTTATACTGCACACCAGCCACCTTGTATGTGGGAGAGAAGAGACGGTCAGACATGCAGCACACTGCTCAAAACTCTCTTGAGCTGGCAGACGCCAACTCTTCTTCAGATCCACAACTTATCGCGGTTTTGATGCTTTTTTACGATATCATTCAACGGGGGCGAGCGGAGGCTAAGGGTAAGAGGCTCAGCGAGGGTATGAGGTGTAGGACAGGGTGTGAGGAGGAGAGAGTAGGGTGAGGGGGTGAGGAGAGAACAGTGAGGGCGCGTGTCTCCCCTCAGACAGCTCACACACCAATGACTCTGTGATAAACATTAGACGGTCTACAGGTGCGCTGAGAGCTGTGCAGGGCGGACCCCTGGCTCGCCTCCTTCACCTGTGTTGAGTCTTCCTCACCTGTGTTTTCTCCCTTAACTGTGTTGTGTCTCCACCTGTGTTGTTTCCCTCATCTGTGTTATCTCCCTAACTTGTGTTATCTCCCTCACCTGTGTTGCGTCTCCCTCACCTGTGTTGTCTCCTTCACCTGTGTTGTGTCTCCCTCACATGTGTTGTGTCTTCCTCACCTGTGTTATCTCCCTAACCTGTGTTATCTCCCTCACCTGTACTGTGTCTCTCTCACCTGTGTTGTCTCCCTCACTTGTCTCCCTCACCTGTGTTGTCTCCCTCACTTGTGTTGTCTTCCTCATCTCTCTCTCTCTCTCGCTCTTTCTCTCTCTCTTTTCTCTCCTCCTCTTTATCTCCTCTTCTCTCTCTCTCTCTCTCTTCTACCCCTCTTCTCTCTCTCCCCTTCTCTCTCTCTCTCTCTCTCTCTCTCTCTCTCTTTGAAGGACAAGGTAACATGGTTACACGAAGCATTAGTATTAAACTTCGAGGCAAGAACTTTAACGCAAATGTGAGTATCTTTGATTTTAGCAAAGTTGTGGAGTACTGGACTCATCTTCCCTGAAGATGTTGAGTGAAAATCAGTTTTGTCATTTCAGAACCAGTTCAACATGCATTTACAACTATAGGATTCCACCTGTGATAGTCTACTCCGGCAGTGGCCACCTAGTGGAAGTTCTGGAACTATACAGTATAGTATGTCCAGTTGCCCACAGTATAAGTAGAACTAGTGGTAGACAGCAGTGAGGTCGCATGAGTAGCTGCAACAATAATGCTGTTGCAATAAGGGTAGTTGTAGCCCATGGTATAAAGTGTCCATTACCGGTATGCCATATATAACTATAACCCTAATTTTTAAAGGGGTGGACCGGTAAGGCAGCGGAAGGCCTCGGTCTCTACACATATGCTGCTATGTATGATAATTCTATGTAACTGTATTTGTGTATACCTGAATAAACTTACTAAAAGCTCCAACGGCGGGCCATCATCTAAGACCCGCGTTAGGAAACACTTGTCTTGTTTCCTGACGAACCTTACCTAACCTCCATTACCGGCATGGTATTCTTTCCCTGTTTCATGGCGGCAATGACCGGAGGATGGGGAGAGAGCCTTCTTTGCCAACCTTACCTCAGCAATCTCATAATAGAAGATAGTTTTTCATCGAAATGGCATTAGATAGTACTCTGCAGATAGCCTCGGTGTGAACTATAAAGTCTTCTGTTATCTTTTTTCTCCATGTACACACAGGAGGCGGAGAAGCTGCTGTGTACGCTAGATACTTCAAAGGCAGTGGGACCAGATAATATCTCTCCGTGGGTCCTGAGAGAGGGGGCAGAGGCACTGTGCGTGCCTCTAGCAACAGTCTTCAACAAGTCTATCGACTCAGGCATCTGCCGGAGGTGTGGAAGATAGCAAATGTAGTTCAAATTTTTGAGAAAGTAGACAGAGAGGTAGCGTTAAATTGCAAATCAATGTCACTTACATGTATAGTATGTAAAGTTATGGAGAAGATTATCTGAAGAAGAGTGGTGGAACGCCTAGAAAGGGTTTATACATGACAAGCAACACGGCTTTAGGAATGGAAAATCCTGTCACAAACCTACTGGAGCTCTACGATAAGGTAACAGAAGTTAGGCAGGAGAAAGAGGGACGGGAGATTGCATTTTATTGGACTGTAGAAAGACTTTTGACACAGTACCGCACAAGAGACTAGTACAAAAGCTACAAGAGTAGGCAGGAATAGCAGGGAAAGCACTACAATGGATTATTAGGGTATACATAACAGGAAGGAAACAACGAAAGCTGGTTCGTGTGTAGGTGTCGGAATGGGTGCATGTGCCGAGCGGGGTTCCACGGGGATAAGTACTAGGGTTGGTGCTGTTTCTTGTATACGTGAATGATATGACAAAAGGGATAGAGGCAGGGATATTCCTGTTCGCAGATGATGTGAAACTAATCAGGCGAACGCAAGCAGACATGGACGAGAAAAGACTACAAGTGAATCTGGACAGGCTGAAGGTCTGGTCTGACAAATGGGTCTTGGAGTTTAGCCCCAGCAATTACAAGGTTATGAAGTCTGGGAAGGACAAAGAAGATCGCAGACAAAGTACAGGCTCGGGGGGCAAAGGCTGCAAACCTTACTCAAGGAAAAGGCCCTTGGGGTGAGTATTAAGATAAGATTTCGTTCGGATTTTTAACCCCGGAAGGTTAGCCGCCCAGGACAACCCAAAAAATCAGTGTGTCATCGAGGGCTGTCTAACTTATTTCCATTGGGGTCCTTAATCTTGTTCTCCAGGGTGCGACCCACACCAGTCGACTAACACCCAGGTACCTATTTGCTGCTAGGTGAACAGGACAACAGGTGTAAGGAAACGTGTCGAAATGTTTCCACCCGCCGGGAATCGAACCCGGGCCCTCCGTGTGTGAAGCGGGAGCTTTAGCCACCGGGCCACCAGTATATCACCTGGGGCGCACATCAGCCAAATAACTGCTGCAACAGATGTGCATCTGGAAAATCTAAGAATAGCTTTTCGACATCTGAGCAAGGAGTCAATCACAACACTTTATACCGTGTACATAACGCCTATATTGGAGTACGCAGCACCAGTATGGAACCCCACACTTAGCCAACCATGTCAAGAAATTGAAACACACACACACACACACACACACACACACACACACACACACACACACACACACACACAACACACACACACACACACACGCACACACACACACACACATACACACACACACACAGAAGAATACACTCGATCGAAGACCAGGCAGAACTACAAAGGGATCTGGACAGGCTGCAGAACTGGTCCAGCAATTGGCTCCTGGAGTTCAATCCCACCAAGTGCAAAGTCATGAAGATTGGGGAAGGGCAAAGAAGGCCGCAGACGGAGTACAGTCTAGGGGGTCAGAGACTACAAACCTCACTCAAGGAAAAAGATCTTGGGGTGAGTATAACACCAGGCACATCTCCTGAAGCGCACATCAACCAAATAACTGCTGCAGCATATGGGCGCCTAGCAAACCTCAGAACAGCATTCCGACATCTTAATAAGGAATCGTTCAGGACCCTGTACACCGTATACGTTAGGCCCATATTGGAGTATGCGGCACCAGTTTGGAACCCACACCTAGCCAAGCACGTAAAGAAACTAGAGAAAGTGCAAAGGTTTGCAACAAGACTAGTCCCAGAGCTAAGAGGTATGTCCTACGAGGAGAGGTTAAGGGAAATCAACCTGACGACACTGGAGGACAGGAGAGATAGGGGGGACATGATAACGACATACAAAATACTGAGAGGAATTGACAAGGTGGACAAAAACAGGATGTTCCAGAGATTGGACACAGTAACAAGGGGACACAGTTGGAAGCTAAAGACACAGATGAATCACAGGGATGTTAGGAAGTATTTCTTCAGCCACAGAGTAGTCAGTAAGTGGAATAGTTTGGGAAGCGATGTAGTGGAGGCAGGATCCATACATAGCTTTAAGCAGAGGTACGATAAAGCTCACGGCTCAGGGAGAGTGACCTAGTAGCGATCAGTGAAGAGGCGGGGCCAGGAGCTCGGACTCGACCCCCGCAACCTCAACTAGGTGAGTACAACTAGGTGAGTACACACACACACAAGAGATTAGTGCAAAAACTGGAGGACCAAGCAGGGATAACAGGGAAGGCACTACAATGGATCAGGGAATACTTGTCAGGAAGACAGCAGCGAATAATAGTACGTGGCGAGGTGTCAGAGTGGGCACCTGTGACCAGCGGGGTCCCACAGGGGTCAGTCCTAGGACCAGTGCTGTTTCTGGTATTTGTGAACGACATGACGGAAGGAATAAACTCCGAGGTGTCCCTGTTTGCAGATGACGTGAAGCTGATTAGAAGAATTCATTCGATCGAAGACCAGGCAGAACTACAAAGGGATCTGGACAGGCTGCAGACCTGGTCCAGCAATTGGCTCCTGGAGTTCAATCCCACCAAGTGCAAAGTCATGAAGATTGGGGAAGGGCAAAGAAGACCGCAGACGGAGTACAGTCTAGGGGGGCCAGAGACTACAAACCTGACTCAAGGAAAAAGATCTTGGGGTGAGTACAACACCAGGCACATCTCCTGAAGCGCACATCAACCAAATAACTGCTGCAGCATATGGGCGCTTGGCAAACCTCAGAACAGCATTCCGACATCTTAATAAGGAATCGTTCAGGACCCTGTACACCGTGTACGTTAGGCCCATATTGAAGTATGCGACACCAGTTTGGAACCCACACCTAGCCAAGCATGTAAAGAAACTAGAGAAAGTGCAAAGGTTTGCAACAAGACTAGTCCCAGAGCTAAGAGGTATGTCCTACGAGGAGAGGTTAAGGGAAATCAACCTGACGACACTGGAGGACAGGAGAGATAGGGGGGACATGATAACGGCTTACAAAATACTGAGAGGAATTGACAAGGTGGACAAAGACAGGATGTTCCAGAGACTGGACACAGCAACACGGGGACACAGTTGGAAGTTGAAGACACAGATGAATCACAGGGATGTTAGGAAGTATTTCTTCAGCCACAGAGTAGTCAGGAAGCGGAATAGTTTGGGAAGCGATGTAGTGGAGGCAGGATCCATACATAGCTTTAAGCAGAGGTACGATAAAGCTCCTGGTTCAGGGAGCGTGACCTAGTAGCGACCAGTGAAGAAGCGGGGCCAGGAGCTTGGACTCGACCCCTGCAACCTCAACTAGGTGGGTACCCACACACACACACATACATACAAGCACAGGTTCTAGGAAAGGGGTGGCAGTAAAGGCTGCAAAGCTCACTCAAGAAGGACCTCGGAGTGAGTATCATACCGAGTATATTCCCTGAGGCGCACCTCAACCAAATAACAGTTGCGCGTCTGGC